GCCGAGCCCGAGGCAGCGGCTGTCGGGCCGGGGCCGTGAGTCGGGGGGTGAGTTCTCAGGGGCTGCGCACAGGTGGCGGGGCTGAGCGCCCTCCTCGGGCGCTGAGCGCGGGTAATCTGGAAAGGAGACTGCGCATGCGCGAGAGTGAGTGAAGCTGGGGACCCGGCCGCACGGCTGGGACACGGAGAGGAACGTTAGGAAGCCTCTACCTCTGGAATATGCAGGAGGAGCGGGGCTCGGAGGGGCTCTTGGCGCCTGCGCGTCGCGTCAGGTGCAAACCCAGAAGGCAAAGATTGGAGGGAGGGGGGGGTGGGAGCACGTAGCTCGTGAATATGTATGAAAGGTGTGGCCCGGATGGAAGCTTGACCAATCAGACTGCAGAGAGCCTGATTAAAGCGATCAGGATTGGAGAATGGTGGCTCGGGAATATGCACGAGGGCGGGGCAGAGTCGGGCCTCATGAATATGCGCGAGGGGCGGAGTCTTGAGGTGATGGGTGCCTAAGCAGGAGCAAAGTGGAAAGTTAGTGAAAGGAGAGGTGCTGGGTTTGAATATGCATGAGGGGGCGGGCTTCTGGCTGTTTGCTGTTTACGGTGGAAACAACGGACGCGATTTTAGTAAGGAAATCCTGCAAGGTGCCCTTGAACTCGTGAACGTTTCGGGGCGAGGTTTGCCCTGTGCTCCCTTGCCTGAGAAATGAAGGTCTGGGAATCCAGTCGTGAATATTCATGATGGCAACTTCCAGTGAAATCCTGGGCCTGGCAGCTCCTTGACCCGTGACAGCCCTGACACACAGACCCCGGGGCTCGATGGGCTCAGGATCCCCACCCAGACCCCTCTCTCTTGCAGGCGGGGACAGAGGGCCGAGATGGCGAGGGCTGCGGCACAGTGGGGCTGCTGCTGGAACACTCCTTTGAGATCGGTGAGCCCCCCAACATCCCCACCCTCAGGAGTCCCGGGACTCATTGCCCCTTGTCTTGTAAGAGAAGCCCTGGTGGCTGAGTGGCTTAGTGCTTGGCTGCTAAACACAAGGTCACCAGTTCGAACTCTCCAGCCGCTCCGCTCCGCAGGAGCACGGGTTCCAAAGCCTAGCTTCCAGACCCCAGGCAGGCAGAGCAACCACAGGCGGAGGCACCGCCCTCCCGTGTCATTCACACGTGGAAGGCCTGTGGCATGTCCGCCACCAGCAAGTCTGTTGGCGCCATTTGTCAGCCACGCGTGCCAACTTCCTGTCCCTGTGTTCCCTGGGGGCACTCTGTCGAGATTTCCAACTTGTTCACAGTGCTCACCTGAAACTCCCTACCATGGGAGTCAGGTCTGACTCAGAGGGACCTGACGGGACAGGGTAGAACTGCCCCTGGTGGAGTAGAAAGCCGCCTCTCCTGCAGAGCAGCTGGTGATTTTGAACTCCTGACCTTGTGGTTAAGCAGCCCAGTTCCAACTCAGAGCAGCTGTATGGGACAGAGAAGTGCCCCGTGGCATTACTAAGGCTGTGTATCCACGTGGGAGCAGACTAGATGGCCTCATCTTTTCCCTTCCAACTGCTGTGGCCAATGCGTAACCCACGGTGCCACCAAGCCGCCTGTTGGTCTGCGTTGACTAGAGACACAAATCCAGAGACACTCATGTGTGTAAGCGAGAACTTTATATCATAGGCAATTAACCATCAATAAAGCAGCCCAGTCCAGATCAGGTCCATCCGTTCAGTATGAGCCCAGGAATTCCTCTGGAGACTCAGGCAGCGCATGCAGTGATGCCGAATGCAGGCAGGTGGATGGATCCAGTAGCGATGGAAGCATCTCAGCCCTGGTGCAGGTCTCCAGGTGGCTCCCGCAGCTCCAGGGCTCTGGTGGCCATCAGCATAGCTCCATGTGGCTTATCAACAGGAATATGTAACAAGAGAGGGTGTCCCCATTCCAGCCCAGAATCCTCATGAGAAGGCCACACCCACAAGGAGGGATCAATCAGGCTGTGACCTGATTGACAGGCTAGACTCCACCCCTTCATTCTTTTATCAAGTTGGCATAAAGTTGTCACTACCACACCTCCTTTAGTAGATTGTTCAAAACCAAACTCAACCATCAGTTCTAACTCACAGGACGGGGTAGACCTGCTCCTGTGGGTTTCCTAGACTAAACCCTGATGAGACAGAAAGCCTCCTCCTTCTCCCTTGGAGCGACTGGTGGTTTTGAACTGCTGAGCATGCTCACCATGTAACCACTGTGCCCCCATGGCTCCCTTTCATCGGCGACCGAAATGTGTGACTGCCACTTGTATAAGAACTGAGAGAGAGAGAGAGAGAGAGAGAGAGAGAAAACATTTTGTGTGACCCGATTTCTGAAGAGTCTTGCTTTACATCGGTGGCCTGGGATGAACCGGTGATGCCTGTGTGGGCTGGCTTTCACCATCCGAGGCCCAGAGCTGGGGCACTTGTTAAAAACACAAGCTCAGACCTGCCAAGTTGGATCCCGTAATCTGCCAGGAACGAACAGGCAGGGAGATAGCCAGGTAGCCCAGCGTTCCCGGCTCACAACCCTGTCCGTATTTTGCAGCTGGGGAAGACAGCCCAGGGCTGGATGGGGCAGGGCGGGGCAGGGCTAAGGGGCTCCAAGCTCAGGTAGCTGCTGCTGGTGGCCCAAGGGGTCAGCTGGGGAGGAGGGGGGGTCCCTTGAATTGGAGGTAGGCAACAGAAACTCTGGATGGGGAGGGGCTCTAGCCACAGTTGGAGTCCAGGGCTCCTGCCCACGACTTCCCCGGATGTTGGGGTGGGGAGCTGAACCCCTGCTCCCCGCAGATGGCAGCATGCTCTTCCGGAAGCGGGGCTCGCTGCTCTGGAACCAGCAGGATGGCTCCCTGTCCTTGTCGCAGCGGCAGCTCAGCGAGGAGGATCGGAGCCGCCTGCGGGTGAGGGGGCCTGCACTGGGGGTGGGGGCGTCCAACCAGCTCTCCCAGCAGCCCCTTTCGTCCCCCTGTCCAGTGCTCCCCTGCAGGCGCTGGCCTGACCTCCATAAAGCTCCCAGCCACCTCCGGGATGCTGTCCCGTCTCCATCCTCTCAGCCAGTCAGTGGCTCACCCCTCCCCTCCCCTCCCCTCCCCCAGGGGTGGTGCAAGGAGGCACAGGGGCTCCAGTTGGTTCCTCAGAGGCAGCAGAGCTGACGTGGAGGCCACCATCTTCTAGGGAAGGCACCCAGAGCTGCCTGCTCCTCCCCCCTCGTGGGCCACAGACAGCCAGCAGCAGGGGAGGCAGGAGCCATGGGGGGGGGAGGGTGCAGGCTGTGCCAGCAGTTTTTTCAGTGAAGACTTTCCTGGCGCTTGTCCTTGAGTTCAGGTGCAGGGCTGGTGTCAGGTGCGGCTGGATCCAGGCACAAGGGGTGTCCCCAGACTGCCTCATTCCACTGTTGGGCTCTGCTCTCTGCTGGGTGGCTTGTCACCCAATGGCCAGGCCACCCAACAGGCAGAGCCCTGGGTCACTCAGGCTGCTGGGGCAGGGGGAGAGGGGCACAGAGTTTGGAGAGATCCAGGTGGGCTTTTCTCAGGGGGTCCCATGCCTCACTGCCACCGCCTGTCTGCCCTCCTTGCAGGATGTAGCGGCCGTGAATGGCCTCTATCGACTGCGAGTCCCACGGCGCCCGGGGGCCACTGAAGGCCTGGAGGCTGGCGGCCACGTCTCCTCCTTTGTCCCTGCAGTAAGTTGATGCGGACCAAGCCCCCTGCCTTCCCCCAGCCCCACCCTCTGCCCCTGCACTGTGCTGTCTGGGCAGGGACCAGGACTGCTCCCCCACCTTGAGGGCTGGGGGAGGCAAGTCACTTAGGGAGACCCTGGGGAGGGGACAGCCCCGTGACACCTTTCCCTCCCCACCACACAGTGCTCCCTGGTGGAGTCTCACCTTTCAGATCAGCTGACCTTGCACGTGGACATTGCCGGCAACGTGGTGGGTGTGTCTGTGGTGACGCAGCCTGGGGGCTGCCGCGGCCACGAGGTGGAGGACGTGGACCTGGAGCTGTTCAACACTACAGTGCAGCTGCAGCCACCGACCACGGCCCCAGGGTGAGTGCACCCCACCCCTGCTGCCGCCGCTGCCCCCCTCCCTTTGCTCTTGTCCTTGCCTGTGGATCATGGTCCCCTGCCCCGAACCCGCTACCTGCTGTCCCTACCACCCCTCCACTTTGGCTTCCTGCCAGCCACAGCCCCCTCCCGGCACCCCTCCCTTGAGCGTCCCTCCAGCTGCTGCCGCCCTCAGCCCTCCCTGCCCTCTCGCTCCCCCAGCCCCGAGACGGCGGCCTTTATTGAGCGTCTGGAGATGGAGCAGGCCCAGAGGGCCAAGAACCCCCAGGAGCAGAAGTCCTTTTTTGCTAAATATGTGAGTGCTGGTGCCCCTGCCCTGCCCTCCCCGCCCCTCCCCGAGCAGGGGCTTCCCTCCGCTGGCTTCCAGGCCTTTTGCGTGGGGGGGCTCCTCAGTCCCTCCCAGACTCTGTGGGCCACTGTCCAGAGGCCAGGGGAAACTGCACCGGGGGGTGAGGAGGAGGGGGTGAGATCTGAGGCAGGTGAGGTGTCAGCAAGAAATGGGGGGACAGGACAGTAGGCAGCTGCAGAGCAGAGGGGACAGGGTGCAGGCTCCGTGGAGGCGGGGGCAGTGACAGAGGGCTGGGGGTGAGGAGGGCAGGTGGGGTGGGAGTAGCCAGCCTTGCCCAAGACTGGTCCCCTCAGCGTGGAGACAGTGCAGGCTGTGGTCAGGGCGAGTGAGATGGTCGGTGGGGCTGCAGCAGACAGTGGGCAAGGGTGGGGTGTGAGGCCCCAAGCCCAGTATCTAAGTGTCCTCCCTCCCTCACTGCCACTTCCCCCACTGGGTGTTGAGCTCAGGACAGCAGGAGTAGCCCACTCAGGGAAACTGAGGCCCAGGGAGGCCATGGCCTTGCCTGAGGGTCCCCTTCCCAACCAGTGGCCATGGGCCCTGAAGCCACCTTGACCTGTCCCCTCCCTCCTCAGTGGCACCTCATCCTGGGGGGTGCCGTGTTGCTCACAGCCCTGCGTCCTGCTGCCCCGGGGCCAGTACCGCCACCGCAGGAGGCCTGAGTGAGGATCCGCGCCCTCCCACACCCCACCCTGCCTGTAGTGACATAGGGGACCTGGGCCCCCTCACGCGGTCTTTCGCACAGCCCTCAGCCCCCGCCCCCTGCCCTGGGCCGGTGGCTCCGACGGGGCGCTGACTCGGCTCTCCCCACCCCATCTCTGCCCCGCAGTGGATGTACATCATTCCCTTCGTGCTGTTCCTCATGATGTCTGGAGCACCGGATGCCGGCGGCCAAGGCGGGGGCCAGAGTGGGGGTGCCGGTGGCGGTGGGGGGCGCTGAGGGTCCGAGCTGCCCTAGGTCAATGCCCTTGTCCCTTCCTGGGCATGCCCCTCTGCCCAGAGATCACCCCAAGCATTTGCACCCCTGGTTCTCCCATCCTTCTGTTAGCCCTAGTCAGCCACAGGACCTGCCAGGCCACCTGTCCCCTCACCGGCTTGTGTGTCCCTGTGGAGGCGGAGAGCTGGCTGCCATCGAGGCCCTTCCGTGTTGGCACGTGTCCACCTGCTGCCCCCGTCCTTGCTGGCTGGACCCACAGGGCCCTTGACCCCTCACGCCCCAACTTGTGCAACTGCAGTTTGGGGGACACGCAAACTTCTCTCCAGCAATCAGTCTTTGGTGTGGTGGTCTCCCCTAGGGGCTACTCTGCCGGCCCTATTAGGACAGGTGGCCCCCCCAGAATGGCCTTTGCCTTGCTGACCCCCAGATTTGGATGCCTTGTCAACCTGCCCCCCGATCCTGGGCCTGGCATGGGGTCACCTTCAGGCTGCCTTCCGACTGGCAGGTTGACCTTGCTCTGCCCGGGGTGGGGGGCAAGGCCCTGAGGAAGTGTGGGATCCCAGCCTGCAGGGGAGTATGCAGAAATGCCTCTATACAGAAGATTAAGCTAGGGTGTCCAGGGCCAAATGATGTTCTAGGGTCCCTTTGGCTTTGACCCCCGAGGCTCTGGAAGGTCAGACTCGGGACACAGCGGTTGGAGGCCTGCGCTGGAACCTGCCGACCTCCCCCATCCCTTTTGAAAAGTCTACTGAAAAAGACGGTATATTGAAACGCCTGACCCACCGGAATACAATGAACTTTTTGAAAAGCGGGAACACGCAGCCACTGAGCGCCTCTGTTAACGTCCTTGGCCTCCAGCCAGCATCTTACAAGCCTCTGCGACTTGGCTTCGGAGCAGGAGTCAGAAGCCCCACTCAAACGCGGCGGCCGTAAAGTGCCGCGTCGCGCAGCGGTTTACGTCAGCCACGCCGGCCGTGCAATACGGCGGCCCGTCCACGAGCTCCATCCTGACGGCCGGATAATGCTCAGCTGTGCCGTGCGACGGCGGCGCGCGCAGCCCCCCAGGTGTGCGATGTCAGCTTCTCCCTGGCGTGAGTGTGGACTCGGTCACGCGACTAAGGTGGCCAGACCGCGCTCTGCTGCATGCATGAATTCTAGGTCCCGTGGCTCCGTTGTTAAAACGTCAGCCTAAGGGGCACGTGGTGCTGAGCTGTTTGCCGCCGCCTTTGCTGTTTTTAAATTGACCCTGCGAAGAGGGGCCTTAGGCCAGTGTAAGCGGACGGTGACCCTACAGGCCGGCCGCAAAGACGCAGCGAGTTCAGCTCCAGGCCACCGTAGTAATAAAGCAAATGCCGCCATGAGGGGCGTCCTGGAGGGTTTTTTGCTCCCCGGTCCCGCTCGGTACTCACGGTCAGTGGTTCAAACCACCTGTTGCTCTTGCCATAGGAAGGTGAGGTGGTCTGCTGCAGTAAAGAGAGACAAGCTTTATGGCAGCAGAGGTAGCCTTGGAAACAAGACACAAAATACACCATGACCCTAGGCAATAAAACTGTCTGTCTGCCATCCTCCCCAAGGGTGTCCAGCGATTTCAGGAAGGAAGGACTCCTTAGTGCCCAAAGGAAACAAGGCTTGTGCATCAGATGCTAGCTGGATGGCAGGGGCGTTGGAGGCAGCCAGCCAGTCCCCACACAAAGACGGCGGCCAGCCACCCCGCTGGCTGAGAATGCATGCGTGCCAGCCACCGTCGACGGAGGGCGTGGCGGCTGGTTCCGATTTGGGTTAGAATCTGACACCCATAGAGGGGACCCACCAGAGCAAAGTCACTGCAGGCTGGGCGTTGGTTCAAACACGGCTGTAGGAGGACTGGGGAGGGGGGTGCCTGTGTGGCCTCAGGGTCCAGACGTGCCGCCTTCACCAGGGATCCCCAAACCCAACTGCAGTGTAGACCCCTTTCCTGTACTTCAGGGACTCATCTGCTTCCCCGCTCCTGTCCCGAGACCCCAACTCCCCTCTGCCATTCAAGCCCATCCCAAAGCTTAGTGGATTGGACTCTAGGGTTTCTGAGGCTGCAGATCTTTCTGCAGGCACATAGCCTCATCTGTCTCCTAGGGAGTCGCTTTGGGGTTTGAACCATCGACCCTGAAGTTAAGCAGTCCATTTGCTTATACAGCGCCACCAGGACTTCTTGGTTCCTACATGTACCTTCTAAAGAACTCGGAACCTCCCACCTGCCCAGACCTGCTGCTCCTCCAGAGCTCTTGCTCCAGTGAGTGAGGTCATCCCCTGTCCTCTCTCCAATCTTGCCGCCCTGCTTCACCTACCTTTGTCTCCCTGGCTCCAGCTCCAACCTCGTCCTCTCCCACCTGGACTCTCTTAAGCTTCTCAGCTATCTCCTATGGGCCACATGTCTAATCCCACTCCAACCCAGAGGGGTCTTTCTGATGTTCACTAGTGATGACCCCACCCCTCCCTGGCTCACCCCACGCCCCCTTCCCCCTTCAGGACAGAGTCCCAGCCACTTAGATCTGGGATTTAAGGCCCCATAGTCTCTGATCACCACCCTTGATGCTGGCATCACACCCATGGTTTCAGTGGAACTTTCAGACTAAAACGGACTAGAAATAAAAGTTTGGTGTGCAATCATACCGAATGCAGGAAGATCTCAGGCCGGTGGGTGAAAAGTCTTGCAGATCCAATGCTGGGGGAAGCGTGGCTCCACATAGCTTGCCAACAGAATGGTGAAGCAGAGGGAACGTGTGTCCTGCCTCCTGAGAGGAAGTTCCAGAATCCTCATGAGAAGGCCACGCCCACAAATAGGCTAGCTCCACCCCTTCACTCAATATCAAGTTGACTTGGGTTAATGTAGCTACCACATTGCCATTAGTTGCTGTTATCTGCAGTCATGTGTGAGAGTGTGTCTAAAAGTTATTAGAAAATGGAATTCAAGGGATCAGGTGTAAGGCATCATCAGAAAAAAAAATCTTACCATAGTGAATGATGGGGGGAGTGCGGAGTGGAAATCCAAAGCCCATTAGTAGGCCACTGGAGATCCCCTTGCAGAGGGGTCTTGGGGAGGAGATGAGCCAGTCAGGGTGCGATGTAACAATGATGAGAAATACAACCTTCCTATAGTTCCTAAAGGTTTCCTCCCCGCTCCCACTACCATGACTCGAATTCGATCTTGCAAGACTGGCTAGACCAGAGGAGGTACACTGGTACTGATAGGAACTGAAAATACAGGGAATCCAGGACGGATGAGCCCTATAGGACCAGTGGTGTGAGTGGCAAAACAGGGAGGGTAAAGGGAGAATGGGTAGGAAAGAGGGAACCGATTACATGGAACTGTGTGTGACCTCCACCCTGGGGGACAGGCAACCGAAAAGTGGGTGAAGGGAGACGTCGGACTGGGCAAGATATGACAAAATACCCATTTATAAACTATCAAGGGCTCATGCGGGAGGGGGGAGCGGGGAGGGAGGGGAAAAAGGACCTAATGTCGGGGGTTTAAATGGAGAGAAAATGTTTTGAGAAACGATGTACAAATGCGCTTTACACAATTGATGTGTGTATGGATTGGGATAACAGTTGTATGAGCCCCTAATAAAATGTTAAAAAAGAAAAAAAAAAGGAAAAAAAAAGAAAAAAAAGAAAATGGAATTCAAAGATAATGGAAGCGATCGCAAACTGATTTGCTTCTCTAGTCAACCAGCCTAACACAGGCAACCCCTGTCAGACAGATCTATCCCTTCTCCTCAGTCTCATTGATTACTTAGCCCCGCTGCCACCCCAAGAAGGTCCGTAAAGCACTAAAATAAGTCTCATGTATTCCCCCCCCCTTCTTGGGGGAAACATACGTAGCAAAGCATGCACTCGTTCAACATGTTCTCCATTCACCATTCAAGACACTGGTTATATACTTCTGTCTCCATTCCTAATGTTGACTGTGTTCATCAGGGTGGACCAGAGAAACAAATTCATAGACACACGTGTATAAGAAAGAGCTTTCTATAGAGTAATTGCACATTAAGAAAACGTCCCAGTCCAGATCAAGCCCATAAGTCTGATAGGTCCAATAACAGTCTACTGTATTAAGTCTTCAGACCCACGAGAATGTCTCCCAGGGACTGAGCATATGTCCCACCTCCAGTGAGCTATTTATCTCTGTTGTGCCTCCAAATGAGGTTATCAAGCTGCGACTTGACTGACAGGCTAAACTCCACCCCTTCACTCTTAATCCTGTGTTAGTCTTGGTACTTTAATGAAACAAATCCACAAAAACTCAGGGATGCCTTGCTAGAAGTGAGCCTTGCTAGCCAAAGCAGGGAACCGCCTAAGGCAGCTGCACCCTGGTCCAACCATCAGAGAGCAAGAGACCTGAGAACTCGAAAGGCGTGGCTCACTGAGCCATTTATCCCTCCGCCCTTCAATTAACCCCACGTGTTTATCATCCAAGTTGGCATAACTACCTCAACCCCATCCCTTGCCAACCTGGCAGCTGTACATAATTCTTTAGCTTCACGATTGAAATTAAGTAACACCAACACCTTAATCCCGTGAATCTCTTCCCCCACCTATGAAAGTTTGTAAGTCAACCACTTCATGCCTTTATCCCCCCAATTTTGGGTATCCAATTTATATACTGCCCACTTACATCAACCCAGTTCTCTGAGAAGACAATCATGTTTTTCGACATGAAGAGTCTTCATTCCAGTTGAAACCTTGTGAAGGCTGCATCCATAAGCAAAGTCAAATCCGGACAGGGCATCCATAAAGTCAGCAACAATATGCAGCAGTTCACAGGCTCAAAAGTCTCCAGCTGGTCGGGTTCTGGTCAACTCAATGTGGGCTGCCTCACTCAGCCTCCACAGGGTGCCCATTGGTTTCCTTTCCTTAGGCCATGGGCTTTCACCAACTCAAGCCTAGCCCCCTCAGGCTAGGTCATGAACTTTAGACCAGCCAACCCGCTCTCACCTTTTCCTTTTCCTGTAAACCAAGTCCACAGGTGTCAGTGGCCAAACTCAACCTGTCTCTTTATTGCTGCATTTCTCCCACTAAGACTCAACAAGTAGCTCCAGGTGGTCACCTAGCAAGCATTTCAGCCTGCTCACAGGCTCCCTTTAACATTCAGTCCCAGAGAGGAGTTTTCTTCATGGTTCCAGATTTTTTCCAGCTTCTGACAAAGACTACTGGTTCCTGAGTACTCCAAAGCACTGGGTGGGGCATATATTTTCAAAGCGTTCTTTGCAGGCATGGCCTAAACCCATCTAAAGATCAGATTTTAATGGCTGAAGCAAGTGGATTTACAAACTTTCTATTTTCCTACTTCCCATATTTCCCCCCGAAAAACAACTGGGTAAATAGTGTGGCTTTATCTGACCTCTGGCTAGACAAAAGAAAAGCTTCCATGAGGGAGAGGTCAAACAAACATCTACTCTCTATCTTATGATTTGTTTCTCCAGTACCCCACTCCCAAGGTACCATAATGTATTAGTCTGGGTACTTTAGAGAAACACATCCACAGAAACTCATGTATAAGAGAGTTATATAAAGGTTAAGTGCGCATCAAGAAAACATCCCAACCCAGTGCTGCCCAAGCCCACAAGTCTAACATTAACCCATTAACCATATGTCCAGCACCAATCCACAAAGTCCTCCATCTCACAAAACAGACGCAGTGACGCCGACTGCAGGAGGAAAGCCGAGTCAGTGAACATGTAAGCATCTCAGTGCTGGCAGGGGTCTCCACACGGCTGCTCCAGCACCCAGGGCTGCATCGGGGTAGGTCCTTGTTGCTTCTCAGGGATGTCTCGCAGGAAGTGAGCCTTGCCAGCTTTGAAGCAGGGAACTGGCTAGGGCAGCTGGACCCTGGTCCGACCACCAGAAAGCAAGAGACCTGAGAACTCAAAAGGCGAGGCTCAGGAGCCATTTACCCCTCCGCCCTTCAATTAACCCCACAAGTGTTTATCGGCCAGCAAGCTATTTTTCTCTTTAGCGCCTCCAAATGAGGTCATCAAGCTGCGACCTGACTGACAGGTTAAACTCCACCCATTCACTCAATCCTTTTAAATGGACAACAGATTACGTAACTACCACACTGACTTAGATTCTCAGTCCCCTGAACTCCGAATCAATGAAACAAATACAACAGTCTTACTGTTCACCCACCTCCCCTTCCCAACACAGCTCTGTCCCTCCTGCCTCTGTCGGTTTTTCTTTTTTATTAATCATTTGACTTGAGGGGCCCTTACACATCTTATAGCAATCCATCATTCAATTGTATACAGCACACTGGTACACATGTTGCCATCAACCTTTCCAAAACATTTTCTTTCTACTTGAGCCCTTGGTATCAGTTCCTCTTTTTTTGCTTCTTGGTTTTGTTTTGCTTTTCTGGTTTTGATCAGCTAAGTAAACACAGAATTTATTTACTCCCTAAGCAAGGGAACTCATACAAACCAAACAAGCTCTCGGCCATTGAGGAGGGAAGAAATGCAGAGTTATTCGCTGTCTTGCCTCTCTTCTCTGACATGCCCCACCCCTCGCCCCCTTGCCCTCCTGCCCGCAGTAGCTCTCCTCTCCATGCTGGGCCCTCCTCTCAGCCTTCTCCTCACCCTCTAACTTGTCCTCTCCAGTGTGAGAGCACCCCACAAGGCCAGGGCTCACTGAAGGGTTACCCCTTCCTCCAATCTCATCACCCTGGCATACCCTACTTTCCGCCACCATAGCACTGGTGCCCGGCAGAGAGGAAGTTCCCCTCCTCCCACCCTCTGTCTGTATTGGCATTTAGATACAAGGCTAAGCGGTCGCTGATAACCAAGATGTGGGTGGTTCAAATTCATCGGCGACTCTGTGGGAGAAGCACCCTGGGAACATCGACAGCCAAGGAAACCATATGGACCAAGAAGAATAAATAAATAATTTAAAAAGGATAAAAACTATTAAAAAGTAAAGTAAAAGGAAAGCATATCGAACCATTCTGTCTCTGTCTCTCACGGGCCACTGGAGTTGGAATCCACTCAAGGGTGCCTCCCAACCACGTCACCTATTTCTTTTCCCCCCACAATTGTTATGTCATGTTTCTTCTTTTTAAATCATTTTATCGGGGACGAATTTTTTACCGCCGATTTCTTGACATCACACATTACCTTTTTTACGGCAAGCAGTCTTGAGATCTTAGCAGCACCTGATTTTAGAAGGGAGGACAGTGAGACTCGGTCTCAGGTAACTTTGGACATGTCCTCAGGAGAGACCAGGGGAGGCCATCGTGCTTGGTAAGAGAGAGGGGCAGTGGAGAAGCAGAGGGAGCCCCCTGGATGAGATGGGTGGGCCCCGTGGCTGGAACACAGCAGTTGTTGCGGATGGAACAGGACCAGGCGGGCGTTCTCCCTGTTGTGCCTGGGTCGCTATGACTCCAGAGCACGGAACACCGGTGTTGGGGTTTTCTGATTTCAAATCGTGCGTTTTAGGAGGAGGTCCTTCTGGAAGCCTCTGCATTGAACCCATCAGCTTCCATGATGGGGACCAGGGGGCCAATTACATGGCCTCTTCAACGGTCAGGGAGTCTGTTTAGTGCTTCAGGGTCTCTATGACTTTGTAGCAATATCTTTTTTGAGGTTCATCTTGTGCGGGCTCAAAGGGCATTTCCACGGGAATATAGCCACAGAATCACAAATTGGCAACCAAGACGCATGCTGATTAGGATGTATAATTTTTACTAGGAGTAACCATTGTTTCCTTTTCCAGAATCTAGCACATTCTCTCTCCACCTCCACCCACATGCCCGCTCTCTGGACATTGTAGTCTGTTCTTTTGTTTCTGTTGGGCACCCTTCTTAGTGTCCAACAGAGCTGAGTTGCAGGACCGTATTTTGCCAATAGGTGGCAGGAGAGAATGACCTCCCATCTGGGAAGTCTTTCCACAGCTTGGGGGTGGGGGGAGGGGAGTCAGGCCTCATGCCTGTGCATGTGTCCCTCTCTTGAGAAAGAAGGGTCCTGCAGGGGTCCTGGTGGTCCTTGGGGGGCAAAGTCAGGGTTCTCATGATGCAGGTCTTCTAGCACAGGCCAGTGTTCAGGAACACGAGTGTCTCTTTCCTCATCCGTACATGGGAATCCGGTGGTGGGTCCTCCCAGTGCCGACTTTCTCCACGCTGCCTGAGGAGAAGGAGATGGTGGAGTGTCGGGGATGGGAGGAGAGGATGAGTTCCCGCAGAAAGGAGGCAGCCCCTTCCGAAGGAGCCCAGACAGGCCAGGCGTACAAGAATCAGCAGCGCTGAGAAGGAGCCGTGCCACTTACGTGCTGTGTGCTGGTGGGGAGCTCGCTTACAGTGTCTGAGCCTGTTCTTCATGGTCTTCCTTCCTGGACGGATTCCTCCAGGCAGAGTCCAGGGTTCAGGTCGGACAGAAAAGGGAGAGAACGGGCGTCATAATGGTTCTC